AAAATCGCTGATAGTACCATCAACTATAGATATTGTTCATAAAAATCGCTGATAGTACCATCAACTATAGATATTGTTGATAAAAATCGCTGATAGTGCCATCAACTATAGATATTATTGATAAAAATCGCTGATAGTACCATCAACTATATATATTATTGATAAAAATCGCTAATAGTGCCATCAACTATAGATATTATTGATAAAAATCGCTGATAGTACCATCAACTATAATATATTATTGATAAAAATCGCTGATAGTACCATCAACTATAGATATTGTTGATAAAAATCGCTGATAGCACCATCAACTATAGATATTATTGATAACAATCGTTGATAGTACCATCAACTATAGATATTTTCGATAGTTTGTAAACTTCACTTTTTACCCGTTATGTTTGTTTTGTTTAAATCGTTTCTCGGTCTAAGATTTTTTTTTTTTCGCCTATTCAAGTGAAGTAAAATGGACTCAAAATCCCATAGAAATCAAAAGAATGGGTGAAGAATATGAAATAAATTGACTAACACAGTTCTTTCCTTTTCTGTATTGACCATGAAGTTACAGATTACTTATATTCACAGTTTAAATATCTATTCATTTATTAAACGTTTTTTTCTGTTGTTTTTATTTTGCCTATGTAGTAATAATCACTGCCCCCACCCCCACCCCTGAGCCATTGCGTTGTTTCCAGAAAATGTAACACCTGCTCTGAAAAGCACGCAAAACGTGCATAATTTTTTCTTATTTTACCTCATTGTAGACAAGTATAAGAATAACACATGATCAGTAGACAAATTGCTAATTATCTAGTAAAAGTGACCTACAAAGTACAAATCTGTAACTAGTGTACGGTATTTTGTCAAATACAATGATATTTCGATTACCATGTAATACAAAATATATTGAAATCACATATCAATAATAAAGCAGTTTAATTGAAATTTTTGAAATTAATTCTCAACAAATATAAATACGTGTATATGTTATATACACACACTCAGTTACACAGCTGAATCTGTTGTCCAATACTAGCTATCCAGTACTATTACAGTACTCAAAATGTGCCTCAGTAGTCACCGACAACCACAATAAGCGCTTGGACAAATATAATTCAAAAATAAATAAATTCATATTAAATATTCAGTACTTGGTTGGTCCTCCTCGTCTTCTAATAACCTTCACCAGGCGACGTGGCATGCTGTTGATGAGGTTATTGGTGTAATACACTATGATTTCATGACAACTTGCCACTAAAAGGCGCTGAAACGCAGCTACAGTAGCTGGTTTAGGGTCCTGGTTAGCAATTTTTGGGCTCAGTTCTGCCCAACAGTTCTTAATGGAATTACAATCTGTAGACTTTCTAATGTTCTTCTGGTCGAGATACAATGCACACACTGAGGGCATTATCATCCTGCAACACAAAGTTATTATCAAATCTTGCCTAGCATATGAGAGAAATATTGACTCCATGTAGGTGTAATTGACGTTTCTCTGGAGGATATGAAGAACAGTTTTTCCACACTGATAAATAGCTACCCAAATTTGTACTGCACCATCTCCTGTGGCAAAGACAGTCTTCCCTCATCTGTTCTCCAGGCAAATGACAAACACGAATTCTACCATCAGCTTTAACAAGCCGGAAACAGGACTCATCTGAAAAGATGACATGTCACCAGTGTCCTAATTGTAAGTTGACATGCTGTCTTGCCCAAGAAACATGGTGACGGTGATGAATTCTGGTTGGTACGGTTTGCAGATAGCCCTTTTTGCAAAATAACCTTGTTTGGTCAGTCTCCTATTCACTGTCTTCTGGAAACCCTGGAATTAATGTGTTCATGCCATTTCTGTCGTAAGGCATTGCAAGACTTCTTTCTACTTTGATATGTTAACCTGATCAAAAGACGGTCATCTCGGGCAGTAGTTTTTCGGCGTCTATGAGTGGACTTTCTTGGAACAACGTTTTCTTTAGTCCGATGATGTTTCAGGACTCTGGATATAGTACATTGGGGATACCTTACTGTTCTGGCACTGTCCGTTTGCTTCATACAATTTCTGAAGAGTCGAACATTTTGACGCCCTATTACTTCTGGCACGTGACGAGGCATGACTCTACACCAAGTATCTCAGAGTAATAGTCCGAACAAAGCATTGGTCTGTTTCGAAAACGATCATACCAAAATAACGCAATTTTATACAAAGCACGTTTTTGTGTATGTTTTGACGAACAAATGCTCAAAACGATTTATACAGACCAGGATAGCAACTCGTAGATGTTTGTCCGATTATATGCTACCTTCTCTGTTACTACTCGAGTACTTACTCAGTAACTTCTCCATGCATGTGGACAATAACGTTAATATGGAACAGTATGCAAACATTTTGACCAAGACTGTAAGATGTTTACCACGGTTTTCCACAATTATATTTGTGTAGAGGGTACAAATATTAAAAAAGAAGATGAGGCGTATATATATATTATATTGTGTTACACGTTACCCAATAACAACACACTTCATGTGTAAGTGATATCTAGCAATTACAGGTTTGTTACAAGTCGCTTACCCTGGCAAAACAAAGTTCCTACGTCACTTATTATACCCAAAACTTTTAATAACTCTTAAAATAGGCCAGTAAGTCATAATGGTTGGGTAATACATTTGACTACTTGTTGTGGTAAAAAACAAATTACTTTGGTGGGGGAAATGAAAAGCTGTTGTGTTACGCTCTTTTGCCTTTAGATATTAACTTTTGTATTCTTATAACCTGTGTAGGTGTATGTATGCGCGCTAGTCTGTTCGACTTAAATGCCAAATCTCTAAATTTGTTAATCTAATACTTATACATACAAGGAGATACATAAT